TATGTGTATGTGTGTGTGTGTGTGCTGTGTGTGGGTGTATGTGTATGTGTGTGTGTGTGGTTGTGTGTGCTGTGTGTGTGCTGTGTGTGTGTGTGTGTGTGCTTTGCAATGGCTTCCCATCCTGTCCATGATGCAGCTCTGTCTTCTGCCCCAAGTTACCTGTGACTGCCATTGGAAGGTGGATGTATTTTTTGTTTATAGATATATACAGTCAAAGAAAATTACGTCTAAATGATTTTGGTTTAGACTTGTCCTGCTGTCCCAAAATCACCCCAGTACTTGCAGAAACCGCCCAATACACCCCGATATTCTCGCCTTGGCTAGAATACCATGTTTGGCTAATCAATAACTCATTGCGTTATTTAACTAATTAATTAATTATTCAATAGAGCTGGTGGTGAAATCTAATGAATAGATAGAATGGTCGAGGTGCCCCTGAGGAGAGGTTTGGGAACCTGGTGTCCATCTAGCCCCCAATGAGCTATCAGTAACTTTTAAGAGAACAGTTACTGCTGATTTGTTTTAATGTTGATGTTTTTCTGAGCAAATACTGTATGCACTTACTACCCAGACAAATAGCTTTTTTTTCTTTGACTTTTGTATAGTACTGTATATAAAGTTATATATCGATATATGTATACACACATAAACATATAAAATTAAAGAGTATTTAAAATATGTCAATAGAGATTTGATAGAGCAGGTACTTTAAAAATAGTTTAAATTGAAGAACAGAGGTGGCAGAGGAAGTGTGACCCAGCAGCACCGCGGAAAGACCACCAATGTCACCTCGCTAGCTTCAGAGTTTCGTGTTCATACATAAACCACCTAACAAACCTTTTTATGGGTAAATAAACATCATTTGTTCCAAAACCATGATCTTGTGCTTAAAATTTAAAAGGGGTATAAAAGTGAGGAGCCAGTATTCCCAAAGAAGGGGCAGAGAATGACCCCAGAGTAGCAAAGAGGGCTAGATGTTGGATGTGAAGCTAAACAAGCCGCTGGTGACCAACGCAGAGGAGGAGAACCAGGACCAGCAGAGGCAGGTGTCGCAGGGGCCCGACAGTCACAGACTGCCCTCAGTCTCCCACTGCATCAAGCTAATAATAGGTAACTGTATGTAGCGATTAGTCACACCTCATATACACCACTGAGGCAGCCTTAGGTGTTGGGCTGCCTTCAAGTTGAATTATAAAGTTTTTTCATCTGTGGAGCTGTGGGTTTATAAGCAGTGCACACCTGGAGCATGTAAATCTACCAGGATTAAGATGTTAAATAAACGAGGAAGACCAACACAGCAGAATTGTGTACTTGTGTACTTCGCAGGGGTAAAACAAGATAACGATTCCCCGCTTTTTTAAAACCTGAGTGCAGGAGAGAGTTTAACCTTGGAAAAGGCTGGTGTCAGGATGTTAAACGCACTGTAGTTCAATCAACCAGCAGAGATACCAAAGATATAACCGTGTCATATATACATACATATAAACAAACACAGACAAGCAGACAGACAGACAGGCAGACAGTCAGGCAGGCAGGCAGACAGTCAGGCAGGCAGGCAGACAGACAAGCAGACAGATTTTTCCTAAAATGTTTGAGGCAAACCCATATGCCCAGAGTGTATTCGTTCATGTTGGATTACTAATAGAGGAAAAACCTTGACAGAAACAGGGGAGAACCCGCCTCGGTCAGGACCCAGATATATGACGGACAGAGATGGACAGTTCAGGTATAGAAATTAAAAATCTAGACCAAGATTTTGGGCGCTTTCCCGCCCCACCAGGTACTTTCGTATATTCTTTTCCATTTTCCAATGAC